CTAAAACCAGGTGATGACTCCTTAGCACCCTCTCCTTAAACCCCACTCCTGCTTTTTTAGGAGCTCAATGAATTGCCATAAGCAGTTTAGACACCACTTGGATCCTACAAAGCTGAAATGCAAACCCAGCCTTAAGTAGAAGTACCAGGATCCCTGTAGTCAGAATGGCTCACTCCAGTGAACAAGGGCTAACTGAAGTAGTGATTTACAGGGTCAGGCTTTTTATCAGCTAGTCACTAATGCCACCTTCTGCTCCCTTTTTATGAAGGACTGAGACCAACTTCTCAAATTCCTCTGGTTCCTTATCCAGTTTTTTTTCTAGCCCCTTGAAAATCTTGCCTTACAAAACAATTGGAAAGTTAAGAGGTACTAATAACAAAACATTTTAAAAATTCTAACAGTGTAGTTTTACTGCCTTAAAATAAGGAAAAAAAACCCAAGTCCTTCAAAGCTGCTGTGGATTAGGAATAAAAGATTTTGGGATAGCAGCTGCATGATTAGCCTTTTACTGAAAGGGACTGGCATTTTTATGAGTACCAAAGATGAAGAAGCTGAACAGTTACAAGTTGTGATGACTTGCTGTGAGGAGAACCCCATACAGGACTATGAATGGTGCATTTTTAGTGCATGTGTTTTAAACTCTCCTGAAGCCTCAGCCTGGTCCCTGTCCGAGTTCAAGGAGAAGTTTTCCAAAGGCAGGGGGAGCAGTTGGGTGCCTCACTCCTGTTGTCTTTCACAAGTTGGACATCTGAGCACAGTCCTTTGAACACCCCTCTCCAGTGGTTAGGTTGTGTATCCCAGTTGTGTTGTAGGTGAACAACTGGAAGAGTCCAACACCAGGAAGGAAAGGACAGTGTCTCCTCTGCAGGATCCTTCACTGCTAACAGATTCAGGGTTTTCTGTGCCTGTTCCAGCTCCCCTGTTAGCCAAACATTTCTCTTAGCTGCTGGCTTGTGTGTGGAGGTTGTCTGTATCTATTAGCTCTTTTTTTTTTCCAAGCTGCAAGCAGTTGCTGGACTTCCAGGAGTCATTCCAAGCTGAATTTCCAACAGATCTGACCATGAGTTCTGCTGCCAGTTCATCCCTATCACGCCTCGCACAAATCTGCACTAAGTGTTTCTTATCACTGTGCCCTGACTCTGCCTTAACCTTTTCAGTTGAAAAAGTGTTCTGTAAATATTTAAAAGCTGTTACTAAATTTGCACTGTAAAATTTGGCAGGTGTAGTTGTGTGTGTTGCTGGGGGAGCCAACTTTTTATGGAATGATCTTTGCATTGTGTTGTGTAAATAAAATCCTCTTAGTAAACAAAATTTTGCTACTCTCTGGTGTTTTTACACACTGGGATGGGGTGGATTTTTTCTCAGACTTGAAGCTGATTTTAGAATCAACTGCTTTTCCTCTTTCTACTTTTAAAGGGATAACAACCAGTGAGCAAGTGGCACTGGAGGCAAAGCTACAACCCTTCATTTTTTCCAGGTCTATGAAAGTTATTTCATTGCTTCACTTTTGTGACAGCTCCACTTGTGAGGACAAGTTCCAGTTATCCCTTCAGTAATTCCACTCACTTCCACCCTGTTCAAACTCTAAGGCCTTTCCCTTAGAATACTTCCAACACTGAACACAGAAATAAAAGCCAGACCTGCTCCAAAGCTGTTTTCTTCCAGAGGCAGAAGTGGAGAGCACCTTCCACAGCACACTCACCAAACTCAGCCCTGGGGCCTGTCACAGATGCTGCAGAGTCTGGAGGTTCCTGTTGTCTCACACCCCAGTTGTGCTGCTTTCAGAACCTCACTGCCAGGAGCTGGTAAACTGAGGTCCTCTCAGCACACGTGGTAGATTGCTAGAAGGTTTTGCACAGAATGTTACTATCTGCTGCTCATTCTTCTACTCCACACTTGAAACAATTTTTAGAAGAGCCAAACAAGATGCATATAATTTATACTTTAATACAGAAACCATACATCTGTAGGTCATACACACCACAGGTAACACTTCAGTATACCTAGAGTAAGACAGAACTAGACATTGTACCTGAAGTAGGTGACCACAAGAGGAGGAGGAAAAGCACATGTGTACTTTTTCAATTGGATTTAGTGTTCCAGTGGAACCCATTTCACTAAAAACCCACCCCAAATTCATCTGTAATTAGTTGGGAAAGCCAATAAACTACAGTGGGCTTTCTGGAGTGGTAAACACCGCACGGAAAGGATGGAAGCTGGCTACCTCCATCCCATGTGGAAGGTCCAGCTGATTGCCCAGAGTCCCAAGCAGCTCCCAAGGCAGGGGGAGTCTCCAGCCCTCAGGCAATGGCTGGCTGCAGTTCAGTGCCTGCCATCAGTGCTTCAGTAACTGGCCGAATGCTGCAGGAGGCCCAGCTCAGCCTGGGCTCAGGGGCAGACACTGGAGGGGCTGGGTGTGAGGGACGTGGTACTTGGCTGTCAGATCCCATGGTGCCATCGATGGCAGCTCAGCAGCTGATGGTGCCTTGACAGAGTCCTGCAGGGCAGCGCTCAACACGCACACATCAGGTCCTCAGAGCAGAGTGGGTGGGAACTCCAATTCCAACTCAATACCAACACTTACAAACTTCCTTTTAGGTTCACTTAAAACTTACACTGCTGTAAAAATACACACCAAAACCAATCCCCAGGGCCTGGGAGTGAATGTCAGCATTGCTGGGGGATGATCTCCACTGGGGCTTTGCTTGACTCAGGGGAAACTGCTGTTACCCAGGCAGGGAATGGGTTTGGTCTGGCCCTCAGCTGGAAGGCTGCTGATCCATTTGTCTTCCTTTCTGTGCTACAAAAATAAATAGGAATTCATCTAGAGCAACAATGGCAGGGGATTGCACAGCCCCTCTGCACAGAGCCTGAAGGACACTTCTCTAAACTGAGCCAACGACACGCAGGGAGGGTCTTTCAAAAGCACTGGGGTGGAGCTGGGCACCTGCCCCCCTGCGACTCTCAGGAGGTCCCCAAGCACTTTTGGAAATCTTCCCATAGGCACTTATACAAAGAAATCTATTTGCTGCACTTAGGAAAGAAGCTAAGAACAGAAACACTGCAAAGAATGGAACCTGCATCCATAGGAATGGGAACAAAGTTATCAGCAACTAAACGTCTTGGCAGAGTCTCTAACTCTTCACTAAAACAACCCTCACAGACCTTCAGGAAAGTTTGTGCATGATATTGCCACATTACACTGAGAAAAAACAAACAGGAAGAGCAATCCTCAAAGGTAACCCTGCTGTGTGCTTTGCAGACAGGAGGAAGGATTAAACCTTCTAGGGGCACACTCACTACCTCCATTTTGCCAAGTATGACCAGGCAACTCCACGTGTAACTGCTCCAGGTTTCATGGTACAGCATGAATCCAAATGTTGAGATACACACTGAGTAAAGTACTTTCTGTTGCTTTAAATATTCTGTTCAGTAGTTTGATATTTTAGTTACTGTATTGGGAAGGATGGGTCATTCCTGTTTCTTGTGTATTTTTTCCACCTGTGGTTTTTAGAGAGCTCTCCTCCCAACACCCAGTCACACTTCCCAGCCTTCTAAGGCCAAGATCTCCCCTGGAACAAATGCTGGGAGTTTGTCAGCTTTGCCCATCCCTGTAATTTACTGAGTTCTCCAGTATCTTTTCCAAGGAGAGATTTCTACCAGATTTTGCATTGCTAAAGTCTTGCTTTGCTAATTCCTGTCAACATGCTTTTCTGCCTGCCATCAAACAGCACTGACATTTTCAGAGACTGATGTAGAATTTCTTACAACTTTGTCACATCTCTGTTCCAACAGCAGCCACCCACAAGAGCAGAACTGTTCTTAACAGCCCAAGGGAGCTCTCTCCTCTTTCTTTTTGAAGCTTGTTTTGCAGCTGCCAGCTCCACGTTTAGGTACTTTGGTACATGAAAGCTCTACCCAGCCATCAGAAACGACAGCTTTGCAAGGCAGGCTGATGTGCAGCTGGGCTGTGGCAGCACTGAGCTTGCTGGGTGCTAACCTGGGGGTCACACAGACCGAGGGGGAACTCCCCACTGCAGGACAGGACCTGCTGGTCTCTGACACAACTGGGCTCACCCAGCCCTGAGTGTGTCTATATTTACAGCTTTGCTGGTCCTGGATCCAAACTGAACACAGCCTCCACCACAAACTAGGATGATACACTCAGAGCAGCAAAGGAGAGTTGTTCCCAGTGTTTTTCTCTATGGAAGGTTTACTACTTGTATCTCTTACCTGCCTGACAGCAAAATGGTCCAGTCAGTTCCAAATTGGGAAGCAAGTAGCTGGCCTTTTATAGCTGCAACAGCAGAGTGCTCCTTGGAGAGTCCAAGGTAGTAGACTGTCTATACTGAGAGCTCCTCCACTGGCTTTTTTTGCCTTAGCAGGGGGTGGAGGAGACAAATGAAAGTCTTTAGCATGCACAGTCACCTCTAGAAAGCTTCTTACATCTATTAGGCTACTAACCAGATTTACTTTGTTGGTAAAGCATCAACTACAGTCTTTTCTTTTTGGCTTTTTCCTTCAGCAAGATCTACTTGTTTTACTGAACTTAACAGACAGTATCTCTAAAAACAGGGATTCCATCTTATAGAGAAGTATATATAGGAAATTCAGGTACATGCTTCCTACTCAACTGGTTCATCCCTGCCCAGCACAGCAGTTCAACACGCTGGCTGCAAAGCCAGGTGGCAGTGTAAACAGATTCCTCCACACTCAGGGTTTTGCTGTCAGAGCTGTGCTACATTTCTGCTGGCTGATGAAAGAATATCATCTGTCCTGCTTTGACGTTCGGTCCTTTGTAACCCATTTATCACAAAAGCAAAGCTGAGTGCCTAATGGTAAAGCAAAGCTTTGTTTTGACAGGCCCAGAATCTCCTCTCTCACGTCAAATAAGCCATTTCTAAACACTTCTGCTCCTCTTTTACAAGTTTAGGTAAAATATTCAGCACCCACGGATCTGGAAGCCTTTGTAGTAGCACAAATAGCACAGTTTCTTTTTGTTTGAGGAGACGTTGCTTTTGATTGCACGATTAGACTATGAAGTGTGGCTCTTTATTAACATGCTTGAAATATGACAGCGTAGTGCGAGCATGAAGGAGGATAAAGCACCTTGCAGGAGTCTGTGTCCCATCCCCTGGGATGAAACCACGCCGAGAGCTTCCCACCTCCAGCAGGACTGTCCACCCTGAGCCACCACTAATCTGGGAGGTCGTTCACAGCCATCTGGGAGAAGGGGGCGTTCAGCCTGTCGAGTTCATCTACTTGGGGGGGGTGGTGCATTAGAACCTCATGGTCCTCGGAAACGTCGTCACCCACAGTGACCAGGTTTGTCAGAGATTTGCTCCTCACACACTGGAAATCCACGTGGCGACTCTTCCCCTCCTCCTTCTCCCACGACATCTGGATGAACGGCCGCTGGACGTAGTTGTAGATCACTTCTGAGCGGCCACCAGGCCTCCTCTTCACCTTCTCCTTACAGGTGGGATAGCCTGAAAACACAGACACCAAGTCAGCTGTGCTACACACCTCTGATTTGCACAAAGGGATGAGAAGATCCTGAATCAGCCAGGCAGGATGGATTATGGGGGCAGGAGGGACTCAGTAGACATATGCTCACATTCCATGTTACTGGCTTGCTTTCTTTCCCCCTGAAAAGATGGCACAGCGTTGGCTGTGGTCATATGGGGAATGGCTGCACAGTCATCTTATCAGCAAACATAGCTACTATTATAAAAAAAAAAAGTCTCCCAAGACAGAACACAACATTCTCTGAGCTCCCTAAGGGAATGTTTGCATCAGCAGGTGAAATATTTGACTCCCATGTCCCATTTACTTGGCCCTAAAGAGACGAGACTTGCTGGTAGGTGCTACAGATCTTTCAGCTCCCTTGAACTTTCAAGCCCCTTGGCCGTTTTCAGTGTCATGTGGGGGGAGGTGAAGGAACATGCCCACCTTCTATTAATTTAATGCCAATAAATGCCTAGTAAACCAGAGCAAAGCAGGAAATGCCTGAAGTCCAGAGGAAAGCAGGCTGCCCTGGCTAAGGAGCCCGTGTTGCAGAGCCCCCTTTGCTCAGGAGCACCTCACCTTCGATGCCAATGCGGATGTTCTTCAGCCCCCGCTCCTTCAGCACGGCTTTCGCCACGTCCCGGTTCTCGATGTACTTGAAGAATCTGTACAGCTTGGAACTGTAAAGGACTGGGGAGACAAAAAGGGGGATTAGGATCTACAAGGAGGGACCTTCTCTCTGTTTTTGACAAGCTCAAGACGTGCTAAAAACTACGTCTGGTTTCCAGGAACTACTGCAGGACCCTGTTCTCATCACTGGGATTAGCTGCAGTGCCTTGGTGGGAGGGCAGTGATGGACATTAGAGAGGATGGTGGTGAGGGGTGTTTGGGCAACGGGTCACACAGAATCCAACCTGGTGGGGTGGGAAGGGACCTCTGGAGATCATCTCATCCCCCCCCCTGCTCCAGCAGCTCACCCACAGCAGGGTGCCCAGGGTCACAGCCAGGCAGGTTTGGGATCTCTCCAGAGCAGGAGCCTCCACAGCCTCTCTGGGCAGCTGCTCCAGGCTCTGCACCCTCACCCCAAAGAAGTTTCTCCTCCTGCTCAGGTGGCACCTCCTGGGTTCCAGTTGGTGCCTGTTGCCCCTTGTCCTGTCCCTGGGCACCACTGACCAGAGTCTGGCCCCAGCCTCTTGCCCCCCGGGGCCCTTTAGCTCTTGCTCAGCATTGAGCAGCTCCCCTCTGAGTCTTCTCTTCTCCAGCTGAACAGCCCCAGGGCTCTCAGCCTTTCCTGGCCACAAGGATGCTCCAGCCCCTCAGCAGCTTTGGAGCCTCTGCTGGACTCTCTCCAGTAGCTCCCTGTCTCTCTTAAACCGAGGAGGCCAGAACTGGACCCAATACTCCAGAGGTGGAGCCAGATATCTGGGTGTGTACTGAACACAGAGGCCCCGTGTAGAGCCCTTACTTTGTGAGTACTCCTCTCCCATGGGAGGTGGATGATCTTCATCCCAGTCCACGGTGTCTTCATCTGTCAGCACGACAATGTGGCACTCCCGTTCCCCCTTCCTCGCACTGTCCACCATTATGGGCAGGATTAGCTCCTCCAGGTAGCTGTCAAACTGCTTGTGAGCACCATCGTTGGAGAGCTCATGTAACAGAGCACCTAAGGAGACAAAAATCATGGCTGAGCCTTTTTAAAATGTCCCAGCTCTACACTTCCCAGGTACATTCAAGAGCACAGCCCACATTCTGCTTCAGACAAACTCCTTAACATATGTCCAGATGCATCAACAGTCTCCAGCTCCCAAACTGGCAAAGTCAGATGCATGAGACTGCACTTTAAATGGGATGCCCATTACAGTGCAGAACCATTACACTGCCATTAAAAAACACACCAAGGTCAAATCAATACAGTGAAATAGTAACAGACTGGTCCCTTCCAACCCAAACTACTCTATCATTCTATGATTAATTCATTATGATACTTAAGTGGAATTGCCAGCAACAGCCTGTGTCCTTGAAAGCACATTTTCTGCTTTCTCTGTGATCACTCATCAGAGGACAGGGCAGGAAACTCCACCCAAGGCCTGTGCTATGGCACCACAAGCCCCATTTCAGCACAGTACCTTTCACTATGTTGAAAGTACTTTCTTTTTTGTCAGCATACCCACCAAAAAGCTGCTCCTGATCAGACCCCTTTTTGACAAGGAAATATCTACTACTTTCCAACTTTGGTATCTTTGGTTCCTGCTCTGCCCATCATCCATCAGTTTAAATTATTCAGGATTCTCTGCTCCATTTTAGACAGCAGTTAAACCCCTGCCTTTAGCCTTCATTTTGTTTAGCTGTTGACAGCAAGCTGCTCTTCTCAGCCTCTGCTACAGAAGCAGAGTAGAACTTTTACAATTTCAATTTGCTTTTTTTGAGCACAGTGTCTGTGTTCTGCAGGATTCAATTGCTTTGCTTTGGATGGATGCAGCAAAAACCACTCAGAACAGTTTAATGCAACGTGTACACAAGTCCTAGTGCAGTCCACACCTTCAGGCTTAAACTAAAGCATACAATTAAGAACTGCTGAGTCAGGATCAGAGTGCTCAACACCAGGCAGATGAGCTCCAAAGAGCTGATTTCTCTCCATACTTACTCAAATCTTGACATTTGACTGTGTTGAAATCAAAGTTAATGCAGAGGTAATCACATGTGTCTCGAAGGTCCGGGATGGAAATCCCATCAGGGCAGTTAATGATTCCAGTTTTGTAATAGTCCTATAAATAAAAGGAGAGTTTTTGCAGAGAAAAATTAAGAATAGCTTGGACTTGGATCGTTTTTAATTAGCTCTTTGTTTGGTTAACCAGCATTGAGAGTTACAGAGGCTATATATAGCTCTGTGAACAGTAAACCCAGCCCTGCTTGTCCGAGAATCTGCGTCTCTTTGCAGATCCTCTTGGGTCTGATAGATGGTGAGCTCCAGTTAAAACATTTCCCATGATGTAGGATTTCATAATATCTCATATGCAACAAGCATTTACATGCAACAGTGAGGTCAGGACACAGCTCAGGAACCACAACAGCAAGACACAAGAAAGGCAGAAGGCAAATATCTGAGAAGATGACTAATACCAAAATCGAGTATGTGTCGTTTTTTTAAAATCACAATAAAAATCAGTAATAAAAACACATGTCCCAGGGGGTGTGCAGCTGCCTGGGAGGTGGCTCCATTGTGCACAGGTAACATGGGTTATTTAATTTCAGTCTGCAAACACAGCCTTACCAGCACGGTCCGGAACACAGCGGAGCTAATTCCTTCTGCGATTTCATATTCCCCCTTCTCGTTGGGCCTGGTGAAATTGTATTCCCTCCCTGGGCCAAACATCCTGAAGAGAGAAAAATCTACATGAGTGCACAAGTTTATAGAAATTAATTCATGCCAATAGGTGCTCTGAAGTTAAACAACCAGCAGTGACACACATATACAGCAACTGCAACCTATATTCCTGTTTCTTAATGCACAAGAGCTGTCTGAGCTCAGTCCTCCTACAGCTGGACTCTGTTGCTACAGCTCCTGTATTGCATGAACAAGCCACAGCTCAGAGGAACAGATCATTCAGCCCTGGGCCTGAAAACACCCTGGTGATAAAGCCCTTTCACCAAGGCCACCGAAGGTAACCAGCAGGTGCCTTTTGATGCTTGTTTTACACAAGGAGCTGTGCAAGGGTCAGTAACCCAACAGAACCCATCTCCCTTGGGTCAGAGATGGGTGAGAGTGCTGGCAACACAGAAAATGAGTGTTTCTGCTTGCTTCTTCCTTCCAGTCTCTGAGCTATGTTCCAGGGAGATGAGTAGCTTCTCTTATGGGAGAGTATCATAAGATAATAGCAGAAGTGGGGTGGAGCATTATCATCTTCTGGAAGGGAATTTATCAGCTGTGAACAGAGGTACTGCAAAAGGGCACCTTGTTTGAAAGAAGTGGACCAGGAGAACGTTATCTAGAGAACTACCAACTCTTCCTAGTGGTGGGCTTGGCAGTGCTGGGTTAAGGGTTGGACTCAATGACCTTAAAGGTCTTTTCCAACCAGAATGATTCTATGATTCTCTGACTCTATATCTGCTCTTGCCTTCAAGACCTCACTCACCTCCAAGGTCGCTTCCCTTGTGCGTACAGGTGAGATCACAAAACAAACATCAGAGCTTTGTTCCATTTTAGCAAACATTTGACCACCCTGAGGCAGCTTGGACACAGCAGTGAGGACCCACCTTCCCAGCATAGTATCAGGGTGAGCAGTGAAAATCTGTGGGTTCACTGCAAAGCGAGTGCCGTCCACCACGAGTGTCACCTTCTCCGGAGCCCCCGTTTGGGAACTGCTGCCTGCAGGCAGAGAGCAGGACCCGTGACGTTCCTGGGGACTGAAATACTCTGTCTGCCTCTTACTCCCATCCTGGAAATGACAGCTGTGTGTGTCTTCCAGAGCAGGCAGCATGCTGCTGAGCTGGGGACCTGCTGGACAGGCAGCGTGTCGGCATTCTGAATCCAAACCTGGGAGACAGATGAAAAATTGCAAGGGTAAGAGACTATTGAAAACCAGCATTTCACAGTAACTCTTCCTACTGTAATGAGAAAACTTGAGTCCTACAGTAACAAAGGGTGTCACAATACACACAACTGGCAGGGTGATGTCTGTTGACATAAATCTAGACTGGATTTTCACATGGAGCCAGCAGCTGGATTGGGATACAAAACCTCCTGATGAACCACGATGCTTAAAAAAAGCAAAATGGATTCAGTGTGTAAAGAGCAGGAGCACAGGAATAAAACAAGGCCAGAGATTCCTAGCACTGACACCTGCTCTTGCACAAAGCTGGAGCAGAAGCTCACACCACATTAGAGGTGTGCTTGATGTCCATTCCATGGCCCATGAGGACTGTCTGGCTACTTTCAGTTAACCTCTTCAGGGACAACCTCAGGAGAAGCTGCAAGTTGGCCAGCACACGGTGATCTTGCCAAGACAGCACGACACCAAAGTGTGCTGTGGACGTTTGTCCTTTAGACCAGGCTGGCAAAGGCAGGGTCTGTGTGTTCTGCTCTCCCCAGTGCAAACTGCCTTGGGATGTTGGGATTTTTCCAAAACATAAACCCTCTCTCTCTCAAAAATCTCCCTTCAAGATTCCTGTGAGGTACAGGCACGCTCCTTACCCTCAGTCCTGGGAGCTGTGGCAGGGCTGTGACCTCCTAGCACCACGTTACCTTCTCCTGACTCATGGATTGCTCCTGGCACGTTTTCCACAGAGCAGCCTGGCTCCAGATTTCTCGACCAGTCTGTCCCAGCAGCACAGTGCACATTCATGCTGGGCCTCCGTGGTGTGGGGACTTGGCTGCGCTTCCTAAGAGAAGAGCTGGGAGAGAAAATAGCTGGGTTAGTTTTGAAAGAAACTCCCAAGCAGTGAGGCTCAAATCCACAAGCCAAGTCCCCCAGGCTCCAAAGGGCTTTCTTCAGGTGCTTCACTGTGTTTCACAGAGGTTTGTGATGCCAGTTATGCCCCTACACATACCTAGGAAGAGGAAAGAAAAGGCTTTAAGGTAACCAGGGGTCTATTTAATCTATAAAACTTTGGTTTTTGAGTCTAAAGCCACTGATGTCTTCAGATCACACGTGTGCTCCTGCAAATACATTCCTGACCACTAGAGTCCTCTAAAAATGCTTATGTATCTCTTGATACCAGCACTTGTAAAATGAGCTCCAAAACATGGCTACAGCCCAAAATAACAACATTTTCCCAGTCAGCTGCTCAGGCATTGCCCCTTAAACCCTCTGAAATTTGACAAGGAGGTTCCCTGCTCCCATTCATTGCCTTTTTTTGGTCTTCCTCCTTCTTGATTTATCACCCTCCTGTCATACAGGGCTCAACTCAGTACTTCATAGAATTGTCTTGCTTGGAAAAGACCTTTAAGATCATGGAGTCCAACCTTTCCCCCAGCACTGCCAGGTCCCCACTGCCCCGTGTCCCTAAACCCACATCTCCACGGCTTGGGAACCCCTCCTGGGGTGGGGACTCCACCACTGCCCGGGGCAGCCTGGCACAGCCCTGGGCAACCCTCCAGGGCAAGAAATTGTTCCTCAGGGACAACTGAAACCTCCCCTGGGGCAACTTGAGGCCGTTTCCTCTTGCCCTGTCCCTTGTTCCTTGGGAGCAGAGCCCGACCCCCCCCTGGCTCCAGGCTCCTGTCAGGAGCTGTGCAGAGCCAGAAGGTCTCCCCTGAGCCTCCTTTGCTCCAGGCTCAGCACCCCCAGCTCCCTCAGCTGCTCCTCCCCACACTTGGGCTCTAGACCCTTCCCCAGCAGCTTTAACCCATTGCAGTCCCACACCCAGCACTGCCATGGCTGCAGCACCCCCTGTATCCTGGCTCAGCCCTTCACACAATCCTTTCACCAGTGCCATTCACATCTTAAAAGTTCTGTGCACAGAGACATCTTCTCATTCTGCTCTTTGGCCACTTTTCAGTGAAATTCTTCTTCTCTGTTCATATCTCTAAGACCCACTTGACTCCTTTGTATCTCCTAACAGATCTCCTTTGCTGTCTCTTGCCCTCCTTCTCTCCTTGGCACACACTCTGTCCTGCTACTGCCTTGGCTAAGGAACAGTTCCCCTTGGCTTGAAGTGTTTTCCTTTCACTCTCTCAAATATAAAACACCAATTTCCTCATTAATGAATTTGCTCAATTTCTCCCCCTGCAGAACAATTGTCCTGTGTCTTTTTCTTGGCTGAGTTAAGACTCCAGGGCCCACGGGTGCCTTCTATAAAGTGTGGCAGAGCACTGACATGGCAAGCTACAAACCCCATAAAATACAGCACTAATAAACCAACAAAATCCCAGTAAGAGTTGGCAACTTTACTGGTCAGGACCTGCTGAGGATGAAGGCCCTTAATGAGCACACAGTGGTGGGTTTCAAGGCCATCATTTCTGGCAGGGAGGGTAAGCATTTCATTCTTAATTAGAAATTTTAGAAAGGAATAACAATTCCTTCCTGTTGATCCGTAAACCAAACACTAAGTTGCCAGCACTATTAGATCTGGATATTTTTAGAAAATCTGTTGCTTGGGCATCATGTGATATTCATCAGAAGGAAGATTTTTGGCAACAGCAAAGCCATGTGAACAGCTACTGTGTAGTGCCTTTTAAAGGCTCTGGCTGGTGGGAACAGCAGTGGGAAGACCCTCCAAGGGTCATCTTAGTTCCAGCAAACCCACCAGCACACAGTGCCCACTACCCACCTCTCCTCACCAGCTGCCCAACACTGGCTCAGAGACCCCTCCCCAACCCCTTTCCAGGCTGCTTTCCTGGACCTGTTGCACTGGTTGCCTAGACCCTGGGGAGACCCCCTCAACATCCCACCAAAACCCACCAGTCCCCACCAGCGCTGCCCTGGGACCTTGTGGGGTCCCCAGTATCCAAGCAGAACGCACCAACACCACTCACAGCCTGGTTTGGGTGGGAAGGGACCTTTCAAGGTCACCCAGTCCAACCCCCCTGCCCTGAGCAGGGACATCCCCAGCTAGAGCAGGGTGCTCAGAGCCCCGGCCAACCTCCCCTGGGATGGTTCCAGGGATGGAGCAGCGACCACCTCTCTGGGCAAACCCCCCCACTGTGTGTGTGCTGCACACACCCACTCCTACAGCTGCAGGACAAACCAACCACCAGGGAAGGAGCTAGATCAATAATATATACAATATACAGAAAATACCATTGAAATTCAACCCAAATACACAAAGCCACGTGCTGTACAACACCCTGGAAAAAAAACCTGAGCAAAACAAAGCCTTTGAATCAATTCCAGAATCGATAACTTCAAGCATAACAACAAAAAATCAGTTTTATTCCCCTATTTTGTACACTCTATTGTAATTACTGTGAGAAAATGAAGTTTTCCAGGCTGCAGATGTCAAACTGTTTATACCACTGAGTTCACATCCACTGAATTCCAAACATTGTAATTACACTATACATTTTGACCAAAAACCTTTCAAACTGAGAGCTGCCCAGAAAACCCAAACATACTTCTGTTTTAAAACTGCAGTTTGATTTATTTAGACAAAAGTATTTTGAGACAGAGGAAAAAAAAAAACCCATCCTTGTTGAGCAGCTACGTAAGGATGTTGGGAAAGCCCAGAAGAGGAATTGCTCCTGGGACCAGCTGCTTGGCAGGAGGAACACAAAAAACATGCTGGGTTGTGTCTCAGGAACTTTTCCTCCCTGCCCCAATTTTCTATCTTGAAACAAGCTCCCCAATAAACCCAAGATGCTGACACAATCACTTGGGAACAGACTTTGCTCTGTGAGCTGACAAGAACTCTATTAAGAAGACTTGATAAGGATAAAATTGACTTCTTAGGCCATTTTCACCAGCACTCCACTGCTGCAATTCTGCCAACAAAGCTCCTCTTGCACTGTCTGAACAATCTCTCAATTATTTAACACGTTACTCAGCAGAGGGGAGGATTTAAGGAGGGATTCAGATCAATAAGCAGTTTACATCCAGGCAAACAGCAGCTTTATGAAGGGACACTTCCATCCCATAGCTTCACAAGAGGTCTGCCTTATGAGCAGTGATGCCAAACAGCACGAAATGCTTACAGCCCGAATTTTCACAACAATCTGACTGCCTTGGATGAATGTTGTAATCTTTGTTCATCACCTTGAGCTCAGAATTAAATGCAGGCAGAATCCAAACTCCCATTTGGCAGAGTCCTCTGCTGCAACACCTCAGAAACTAGTTCTAGAACTACCACCAGATACAGAGGAACTACAGTACATCATCTTCCCTTACCATTTCCCCCCTTTTGCTGCTTAATCTGCTAAGCAGGATCTTTAGGAAAAAAAGCCCCAGCTGATCAACACCCTTCTCATTCTTTTCTGTTACACCAAGTCTAGCACCAGTGAAAGGTGCTGAAAGTGGCAGCAATGGGAACACTCAGGAACAGATGCTCTCAACTCTTGTGAAGCATCTCACAGGCATCAGATCTGACTTTCCTCATTAAATGTACAGGATGCCAAACGTTCAGCCCTGCTGATAATCTGATCTGGGCCAGGCCAGTGGCATTTTCCCCTCTTCTGTCCCCTCCTGGCACGCCCAAATCCTACAAGTTGGGTGTCAGCAGAATTGAGGTGGGTGAGTAAGGGCTCCTTTAGCACACCTGGCTGCTACAGAAATACCCAAACTAGTCATTTAGTGTGACAAACACATTGCAGTCACACCACAAGTAGGGAAACGAGTACATAAAGGCTTCAGAAGACCATACTCACACCTGACCAGCTTACAAATGTCCTGGTTGCCTTTCATGCCCAGGATCAAGGTGAACTACCTGTGATGAGAATGAATACCTATAAATAATAATTAGCACCGTTCACCTTCAAAGCTTTTTACAACCAGTAGCTGCTCTCTGCTCCCTACAGCCCTGGGAAGCACTGCAGGGAAGTCTTTTAGGAGAGAAAACCAGGACACAGAAAGAGACAATTCTCAGGACCAACCAGAGTGTCAGGCCCACTAACTAAGTAGGGGTTACTCTGGCTTTTGGCACATCCACTACTCCAGCTGTACACCAGCAATTACACTGTGGTTAGCAGGACAAATACTAGCAGGTTACTACCTTCTGAGGGGTGTTTCCATGCACGTTTCTACCCTCTGGTAAGCATAAGCCAGCTGGTACCACAGAGCTGATCTGGAGCAGTAAACAGGCTCCCTGTCTCCTTTGCTCACTTCCCAGTAACTTGTCTGTGTGTGCAGATCCTGAAGGAACACGTAGGGATCAGTCTGCAGAGGAGCTGAAGACTCACAGCTTGTGGACACAGATTTGGGGAGCTGGGAACTCATGAAGATCAAAAGCTCAGTGTCATGTTCAGCACTAAAGATCAAAGAAAGAGCTCCTAAATAGGCTGTGCCTTTTGGGTTTTGGAAAGGAAACCAGTATCACAGTCAAACCCCCAAATTCACATCTGACTCTAGCCCTTGGTTTTACCTAACTTGGAGCACGTAGGTCCCTCCTTCCTCCAGAACATGACAATGTTAATGAGCTGTGCACGTGAACAAGCATCTCTGTTCCCCAAACCACCTGCTGACAGTCACCATGAAGTCTTCTTTATTTGAACTTGTCCACAGCCACTTTTGTTGAGAGAAGAATATGGAAGCGATTTTTCTTTTAACACTAACTGGAAATCGTTTTATTTAGCAACACAAAATTAGCCTCAAAGAGGCTGCTCCTTATTCTACCTAATTCTTAAGAAAGAGGGAAGTGGACTGGAATGTAAAAGGGCTGGGACGATCTTCACATAATCAGCACATTATCCTTC